CCAAAGCTGCTGCAGAGGCTATCCCAACATTCAATATGATTGACGACGTGATCAGCGCCATCGCTGAGTACCTGGGGTGATCAGGACTGTGGTATCAACGCTGCATGGAGCTGCAGGAGGTCTTCACATCCACAAATCTCGAGGTGCAAGGGATACACGAGGTTCGGTGGCTTTCAAGGGGTGCTGCAGTCGCTCGCTCTATCAAAGTCCTTCCTGCCATCGTGGTGATGCTGTCAGAGTGGAAGGACCAAACCATGTACGAGCTCGTCACGTCGTACCGGTTTCAGTTCCTACTCAGGTTCTTCGCGGACGTTTTGGAGATGCTCAACGTCCTCTCTAAGGTTTTCCAACAGCGGGAGGTAAGTGACTTGATTATATGATTTGTTTAGTTTCAAACACATATACCCGTGTACTAACTTTCTCTTGACTTGTGTGTGGCAGCTCGACTATGCCTTGGTGCATACCAGATTGTGCGCACAACCTCTCTCTTGGAGAGCCGGTACGTCGACTGTGGATACGACTTCGGGGGGGGGGGGGGGGGGGGGGGGGGGCAACGAGCAGCTTTACCACTTCATCGTGAAGCATGGACCGAAGGGGTCACCAGAGATGGTGGTGGAAGGAGGGTCGTCGGATGGCAGCCTCAACCGCTTCAAGTTCACCCATTACGAGCGCATCAACCTGAGTTATTGTGGGCCAGGTCATCACGACGCATGAGTGGTGCTTTGCGCAGACATGGCCGAGCTCCTCTTTGAAAACCTGCAGACAAAGCTTGGCGACCTCGACTCTCTTTCTGGCGTGAGGCTCTTCATTCCGGACTTGTGGCAACCGAATTGGGAGCGGCACGCACGACAGGCACAGTGCCAGCGGTGGCTGTTGTTGCTAGTCATTCTTTTTCGTGCAGATGACTCCGACGAAATCCTACCAGGTTAGTCCTTGATTGGTAACTCGATTGGCCGTTGAGAACCCATCATTTACTAATCCCCTGCCTTAAAGACATTAACCTTGCAGACATTGACAAGAAGCGTGCCATGAAGGAGCTGCGGACTCTGTGCTCGGTCCTGGCCAGAGCTCCTAAGAGCAAGCGAAAGTTCCATGCGGGATTAACTGCAATCCTCAAGACACCCGACTGGCAGCAGTCGTACCCCAACCTTGTCGACCTCTGGGTGGCGATTGCAGTGATACCTCTCTGCACTGTCGAGTGTGAAAGAGACTTCTCTCAACAAAATTTCATTAAAACGTGGCAGAGGGGCAGTGTTAAGGACTGTAGGCTCAGTGATATGTTGTGTATGTCTTTGCTAGACTATGAGCAAGACGTGCCAGGAGTAGTATAAATTTGGCGCAGCTACAAGAAGCTCCGGCCAGTCACAGCACCTGCTGCAAGACACAAGGAGCCCTCAAGGGTTGGGAAGGAGCCTGTAGAGGATCCAGTAATTGAGCGTACTCCGATAGATGTCATCAATCAGACTCTGATTCAGATGGTTGAAATGTTTATTCACCATCTACAAAAGTGATCAGCCTAAAATTTGGGCGTAACAATGAACGCTCAGAGTCAAAACCATAGTGTTGTCTGAATTTCCAGCCTGAAAATTGGAGGCAACGCTGATTGAAAGAGTTCCAAGAGGGGTGCACGCTGATCGATCAACGTGTCCCAAAACGAATCTAGGGGCTTGCTTGCAATCTGTTCCCGCACCTTGTCAGAAACCGAAATGATGATTGACTATTGTGGGTTGGGGTACATAAACCTAACCCTAACTGCTGTACCCCATATGACACGCATCATCAAGCTACAACATTAGACACAACCCCATAGCCTAAGTGAGGGGTGTCAAGCAAAACCAAAACCGTACGGTCACAAGACCAGTCACAAAGAAACAAAGCTCAGGGTGGATCATAACATCACCACACGGTCCGAGCACAAGGGAAAGAGCCACAAGGCAAGTCCAAGAGTTCAAAGAGGTATATGCAAAGTGTACAAACAAAGCAAGCATAAAACTCAAGTCTACACAAGACGAGAACATGTGTCAACGAGACCTAACTGCACACAACACCTGTGGTGGTCACAAGGCGGAAGGGCCTTGGTGAAGATGTCTGCAGTGTTGGCCTCGGACTCCACAAAGTCCAAGCGAGCCTGTCCACGCCTCTGCAACTCTCGCAGAAGAAAGTACCTGACGTTGATGTGCTTCACTCTGCTCTCAAGTTGAGGCTCTCGACAGAGGAGAATTGTTGCCTTGTTGTCAGTAAACAAGGTCGGTGCAGAGCTCGACCGCTCACCAAGGTCGGTGAGCAAGAAGGTCAACAAACGCAGCTCCTATACAGCCATGGCTCCAGCGTAGATCTCGGCATCAGCGGTAGAGGTCGAGACTGAGGAGGAACGCGTGGACCTCCACGAAACAGCTTCAGAGCTCAGGCTGAAGCAGTACCCATGTGTAGACCTGTGAGTCTCGACATCGTCAGCGTAAGAAGGGTCACAGTTACCAGTAAGTACGACAGACCGTCTCCCTCCAAGTACTAGTCTCATGCCTGATGTCATCGCTAGGTACTTCGCCACCCTCACAGCAGCTGTCCAATGAACAGGACGGTGTCTCCCTGGCGCAACAAAGCGAGCAAGGATGCTGAGAGGGAAGGCGAGGTCCGGGCGAGTACAGGTCATCAGGTACATGAGGCAGCTCACAAGCTCTGCGTAAAAACCACTAGGCTCAAACGGCTCGTCAGGAAAGGGACGAATGGGTCTGTGGTCAACGGCAAGAGGTGTGCGCTGTACGGTGGAGTGCTGAAGCCCGAACCGCTGAAGGACCTGCTGCACCATATGTGACTGTGAGAGTCTAATAGTGCGAGCAGCTCTGTCCTTGGTGATCTGCAGGCCTAGGTCGTAGCGCATCTCACCAAGGTCAGTGCACGTGTGTCTCTTCCGCAGTTCACACTTCATGTCAGCCAAAGCAACCCTGTCAGCAGTGGCGAAGACCAGGTCGTCAACGTAAACTAGTACAAAGAGCGGTGTAGAGCTACGACAAACGAACAGCGACGGGTCAGCAGAAGACGGCTGGAAACCGAGGTCAGATAGAGTAGAGAAAAAGGGTGTTGTGCCACTCACGAGGCACCTGACGAAGACCGTAGACCGGTCGCCTCAGCCTCCACTGGGTCCCAGGAGGGAAAGTGCCAGTGAAGGCAGAGGGACGACGCAGCCAGACCTCCTCGTGTAGGCTACCCTAAAGGAAGGCAGTGGAGAAGTCGAGAGAGTGTAACTCGTAGTCTCTCTGTGCTGCTACGTGTAGAAACTCCAACCCAAAGAGTGGTCATCTTCGGGGTAGGCACGAAGGTCTGAAAGAAGTCAACTCCCTCGTGTTGACTGAAACCTCTAGCCACAGAGGAGATCCCGGTAACCACTTCACTCTGAAGATCCACATGCCATCGACTACGTTCGCCCAAGGGGGGGGAACCTCGTCGACGTAGGTGCCTGTGGATCTGTAGGAGGCCATCTCTGCGTCCATGGCGGCTCTCCACTGAGAGGCCCAAGGCCCTGACACTGCCTCACCGTAAGTGCGAGAAGTCGATATATCAAGGGCGTCGGGGACTCCCTTAGGGGCGAGCAGCATGGCACAGAGATGAGGAGAAGCAGCTGCGAGGATCTCCACCTCAAACTGCCTATCCTCTAGGGCGTCACAGCCAAGGGCAGACTCACCCCCGACGGCCAGAGGACTGGTAGGAGGAGCAGCCATGACATGAGTGGCGTAGTCAAGGCGGCGAGTAGTGGCGAACTCAGTGACTGCGGCAGTAAGGGCGGAGACAGAGGACAGAGGGGCACGAGGGTGTGTAACAAGAGAGGCGAGAACACACGAGAGGACAAGAGTAGAGAGGGAAGCAGTGAGGGCCGACTCAAGAGGAGAAAGAAGCACATGCGGAGATGAACGAGGCGGAATAGAACAGAACAGGACAATGCGAAGGTCAGTGACAGGGATAAGGGACGAGGGACGAGCACGAGGAGAGCGAGAAGCCCAAGTGTGAGAAAGAGGAGGGGACAACGGAGGCTGAGAACGGGGGAAAACAGTAGGGGTGGGGTTTAGAGGAGGAAACGTGGGACAGCAGACAGGAGGAGAGGGGGAGGGGAGAGGAGAGGGAGAGGGGAGACCGAGGGTCCAAAGGCCAGAGATAGGAGGCGGAGGTGGCGGCTGCTGCTGCTGGGGCTGCTGCGGCAGCTGCTGCTGCTCCTGCTACTCCTACTGCTGCTGCTGCTCCTGCTGCTGCTCCTGCTGTGGCGGCTGCTGCGCCTACTGCTGCTGCAGTCGCTCCTCCAGCTGCTGCCGCTCCAACTCTCGCTCCTCTCGCTCCAACTCCAGCTGCTCCTCACGTGCACGGCGAAGACGGGCCTGGTGCCGGGTCGGGTAGGGGTGGGGGGGAGGAGTGGTGTCCGTGGCGGTAGTAGCCCCAGGGCCTCTCTCCAAAGCATTAGCCGCACCACTCCCAGAGCCAGCACCACCAGAAGCAACACGGTCAGCCCCAAACTCTCCAGGTCCCCGTAGAGGGCGCAACCGTACCCCCAGTCATAGCACCCGCAGAGACAGCTCGACTAACACCAGCTCTCCGAAGACTAGAACCTCCTGCAGACACTGGCTCAGCCCCAACTCCACCGCCCACAGAACCAGGGCCTTGTACAGGAACACTCTCAGCTCCAACGCTAACACCTCTAGAGCTAGCACCTCCAGGTTCCTCGCCACGAACACTAGCTCCCGCAAGGTCTGCAGTAGGTTGTGAGGAGGACTGTGGGGAAGGGGACGGCACCTGTGGGACTACTGAAGGGGGGGTAGGCCGGACGGGGCTGGATGGTCCGAACAATGGTCCTTGTTGGCGGGAATCAAAATATTCCTCGTTTATGTTACAACAAAATGCATATCAAGGTGTGTCCTATCAACACCACTCCTAAAGACTACATTAGAAATTCACTAGGCCCATTCTCACCATGCACAACAAACGGTTCATGGCGCTCATGCCTTAGATGCCTGCTATCATACCCAAGGAATGAGCCCAAGTATCGGAGCAAATGGGTAAAGGAACACATCCGGGGAGTATTGAGCCACAAGTGACGGGTCGGAAACAATTCCTGGCTTCGCCCAAGCAATGCGTGATCCCACCGAGCCAGGTCCTGAATTATTGAACTCGACATAAGTTGTCGTGTCATACACTGTGCCTCCCCAGTCCATCCAACCAGTTGAGTTGATCTGCAGAGCAACAGACATGTCATGCAAATGCAAGTTCCAAACCACCACCAGGTTGTGCGGGGAGTGCGGCAGTGCAGGGAGTGCTGGCAGTGCAGGGAGTGCTGGCAGTGCAGGGAGTGCTGGCAGTGCAGGGAGTGCTGGCAGTGCAGGGAGTGCTGGCAATGAAGCGCACTCACAGAGGAGCCAATGACAGTGTTGCTGTAGAGCACGCGTGCAAACGGCCTCCAGGGCCGGCCCAGGAACTGCGTCTGCGGCAAGTCGCCCTCGACGCGCGAGTTGACGATGACGATGCCCGTGGGCTCCGTGGAGTTGACTCGCCCCGACGCCGTCACCACGGCGTTGGGCTGGGGGCGCAGCTGCAGCGTGCAGTTGTCGAGCACGGTGGCGCCGTTGCCGAATATGAAGTCCACCGACCCGTTCACCACGCAGTTGCGGTAGTACTGCCGCCCACTGTGCGCGTACAGCGTGTCCTGTGAGGGGCAGAGAGCGGATGAGGGCGACCAGGGCAGAGTGTATGTTAGGAGAGAAGATGCAATTGGTGGAGAGCAGCTGGTAGCATTTGAGAAAGCTGTAAGCAAGGGGGAGAGGTGAGGTGAGGAAAGGACCACGGGGAGTTGGGGGGACCGGTCGCACCTGCCAGCCGATGATGTGGCAGTCGTAGAAGGCGCAGTTGTCCGCCGTGACCCTCAGCGCCACGGCCTGGTGGTTCTCCGGCCCCGCCGTGTTCTCAAAGCGCACCCCCACCGCCAGGAAGCCCGCCCCCGTGATGGCTGCCACGCACGGGTAAGCGAGGAGGCGGAGGGGGGGAAGGGTTGCGATATGAGGGGTGGATAGCAGGAAGGTGGGCAGGGGGAAGGGAGAGGAGAGGGATGATAGACGAGCAACGGAGAAAGGGTAAGTGGCTTGGAAGACAGAAACGGTGTGACCAGGGTACTTGCACTACATGGCAATGCCCACACCCCGTGCCCCACACATGACTAATGCACACCCACTGCACTCCCTACCCCCACCTCTTCCCCCCCTCTCTCCCCCCTTACAGTCAGGCACACGACAGAGACTGACCAACAGTGGCGCTGTTGAAGGTGGTGGAGCCGCCCACCACGCTGGCACTGCCCGTGATCACCGTTGCCTCGGGCGCCGCCCCCACCAGCGTCACGTTGCGCCGCGTCACGCGCACCGTCTCGCTGTACACGCCCGGCGCCACGAACACTATGAAGCGCCCCTTGGGGGTGGACGGCGCTGCATCCACTGCTGCCTGTGGGGTGGTGGGGGGTGGGCGGTGATGGCAGGAAGCAGGATGAGGTGCCACGTTGGTGTGCGTGGGGCAACCGCAGCAGACTGTACAGGGGAAGTGAGTGAGTGCATGTACCCATGCACCCATGCACCCATGCACCCATCCACCCATGCACCCATCCACCCATGCAGCCATCCACCCATGCACCCATCGACCCATGCGCGCACCATCTGAAGCAACGAACTAGCATGAACCCACTCATACACGAATGCACGTGCGCACCTGGATGGAGGTGAAGGTGCCCGAGCCATCCCTGGCGACAATGGCGTTGGGCGGTGGCAGCGCGTAGCGCAGCGGCACTGGGTATGCCAGCGATGGGGGCGCGGGGGGGGAGGGGGGCGGGGAGGGCGGGGATGGGGGCGGGGAAGGCGGGGATGGGGGCGGGGAGGGTGGGGATGGCGGAGGGGACGGTGGGGAGGGGGGAGGGGAGGGGGGTGGAGAAGGGGGAGGAGGGGGACGCGGAGGGGGGGACGGAGGAGAGGGAGGAGGGGACGGGGGGCGAGGAGGTTGAGGGGGAGGGCGAGGGGGAGGGGAAGGGGGAGGAGAAGGAGGAGGGGGACGTGGAGGGGGGGAAGGGGGACGGGGGGGAGGGGAAGGGGGGCGAGGAGGAGGGGGAAAAGGGGGAGAGGGAGGGGAAGAGGGTGGGGAAGGAGGGGAAAGGGGGGGAGAGGGAGGGGAAGGAGGGGAGGGGGGAGGGAAAGGAGGGGAGGGGGGAGGGGAAGGAGGGGAGGGGGGAGGGAAAGGAGGGGAGGGGGGAGGGGAAGGAGGGGTAGGAGGGGAGGGGGGAGGAGAAGGAGGGGAGGGGGGAGGAAAAGGAGGGGAGGAGGGAGGGGAAGGAGGGGAGGGGGACGAGGGGGAGGGGAGGAAGGAGGGGACGGAGGGGTGAGGGGAGGTGAAGGAGGGGAGGCAGGAGGGGAAGGAGGGGAGGCAGGAGGAGAAGGAGATGGGAGAGGGGGAGAGGGCGGAGGTGAATTGACAGGCGGAGGAGACTGAGGTGGAGGGAAAGGCGGAGACGGAGGAGGGGGAGGCAATGTGGAGAGAGGAGGACGGGGAGCGGCTAGAGGGGAGGCGGGGGGCAGGACAGCACAGGCGCAGGTGCAGGTGCAGCACGCAGGGATGGATGGGGGGGGAGACGGCAGCAGCGGAAGGGGGAGCAGCGATGGAGCAGCGGGTGTGGCGGGCCAGGGCGAGAAGGGAGGGGGGAGGGGAAGGGCGCAGAGGGGGACAGCGAGGGAGGTGGGGATGGAGGCACTGAAGAGAAGGGAGATGGCGGAGAGGGAGGGGGAAGGGAGGGGGAGATGGGGGAGGGGACGGAGGAGGGAACGGAGGAGGAGAGGGAGAGGAGGGGAGAGTCGAGGAGGGGGGCGATGGTGACGGGGGGAGGGGAGAGAAGGGAGTGGTGGGAGGCGGGGGGGTCGAAAGGGGGGAGGGCGGAGGGCCAGGGGGGGCAGGGGCGGTGGAGTTGACTTCAGCAACAGAGGCGGAGGGGCGTGTGGCGTTGCGAGGAGGACGCTTCCTTGACTTGACGTGTGAGCGCGACGGTGCTGTGGTGCTGGCTGAGGCAAGTCGTGCAATCGTGAACTCGCTGATACCAGCAGCAGTGTCCCCATCAGCACCATCAGCACCATCAGCACTCGCACTGCCATCACCACCACTATCAGCGGCACCACCAGTGCCAGCGCCATCGCTTGCAGCACCATCAGCGCCACCGCTGTTGTCAGGCGGAGGGCTGGTGTCGCTTGCAGGGCTGGCAGCGGGAGCTGGCGCGGAGAGCGGCGCGGAGAGCGGCGCGGAGAGCGGGGGCGGCGAGGAGGCGGCGACGATGGAGGCCATGTCGGCCGCCTGCTGCTGCAGCGCCATGAGCGCGTCCCTCAACTGCCCCGCTGCTTGCTGCTCGCCGTCATGGGTGGGGCGGAGCATGGGGTAGAGGATGGGGTAAAGAGGGGAAGGGAAGGGGAGGGAGGGACGTTTGAGTGGTGGTGAGTGGAAGTGAGCAGGAGAGGATGGGTTCACGAGAGGAGGAATGGCATGAGCCGAGGCCGAGGTGCTTAGAGTGTGGGGTGGGGAGAGGGCAGTGAGGAATGATGGTCGGGTTGAGTGGCAGCAAGAGGCATGAGGTGGAACTTGGAATGACGGCACGGCACTGCACTGCACTGCACTGCATCACCGCCATTGCCTCTACCCCTCCATGCCTCCAAAGCCCTGCCCTGCACGGTAGGGAGTGGTGGCTGGCGTCAGCACAGCACACTGCATGCACGCACCACCATCCCCCCTGCTGCCCACGGCTACCTGCCTCCCCCCACCATCAACGCCCTCATGCACATGCAATGCAATGCAATGCAAGCGTAGCCAAGGCCCAACTGCACGGCAATAAAACGCCCCTCACAACCCCCCCCACCTGCACGGCTTGGGCGGGGTCGCTGGAGGCGCCATCCGCAGCGAAGGTGCGGAAGGAGTCCAGACAGTCGCCTGCCAACGTGGCAGCACTCGATAGGCTCATGCGCGCATCTGCCACGTCACCCTCGCCCGTGTTGATGATCGCGGCTGCTTCCTCCATGCTGGCCCTGGCGAGTGCCAGCTGGCAGCACGGGATTGGATTGGAGGGCATGCAATGCGGTGCAGTGTAGATATGGGAGGTTGAGAGATGCCCAGTGCTTATTGTGCGCACGCATGCTGATGTGGTGTCTGCAATGCAGCTCCTAAAAACGCCGAACACTACAACGTATCATTTCATAACGCAGCATGTTATAATGGAGCACCTGAGAGACGCAGTCGCGCGCAACTTGCGTCCACACGTCCTTGCCCTTGCGCCATCCCTCCCTCCCCCGCCGCCCCGCCCACGCCGCCATCAGCTGCTCCGCGCGCCCCTGCGCCGTTACCGCCACCCCTTGCGCGCCCGTCAACCGCCCCAGCGCATCCCGTGCCTTCACGCGGAACTTTGCGCTCCCCCATGCCGCGCGCAGCCGCAGAGGCACTCCCCACGTCGCCCGGATGCGCCCGCCACTCCCGCCATTCCCCCCCTTTCCGCCTTTTCCGCCACCGCGCGGGCGCGGAAGCCAGTTTTCCCAGCCGAAGACGGGAAGCGCTCCGCTGACCTGCGCGCCCGCCGCCTTTTCCAGCGCCGCCCTGCGCTGATCTGACGGGAGAGGCGCATCGGACGCCTGGGCTTCGTCAGAGGGGTGTGCTACGGCAGCGGCGACAGCTGCGACGAGAGCGACGACGATGGCGACGGACTGGAGCAGTGGTGGTCGTGCGATCGCCATGGGAGGCGCGGAGAAGAAAGAGCGTGGAGGTCCATGGTGAGCCAGCAGCACGCGCGCTTTTAAACACGCGATGGCGGTGATTATCACTAGTGCGGAGCGAGGCGCGCGGCAGGCGTGCAGTCACTGCAAGCTGGTGCACGCAGGGCTGCTCCCGCGAGCACTCGACCCGCAGGGCACGGTGCAGTCGATTTGGCTCCATCGGACCAGAGCGACTGGTGACGTCAGCAGGCAGACACGCGCGGCAACGGGCACCCCACGGGAGCTGCACGCGAGAGCAGCGGGATGAGCAGCAGGGAGGAGCATGTGGGGGTGTGGAAAGAGAAACGCGCGAGCACCTGGTGCCGCATGGCGGAATGGCGGAATGGGGGTGGGGAATGGGCGGAATGGTGGAGGGAATACACGAGCGCTGGTCGGCTAAGGTGGCCCGGCTCACGCGGCGAACGCGGCGCTCCGAGCTGGGGACGAGCGGCGAGGCGTAGAGGGTCGGTGGGAGTGGGGGAGTGAGCCTTGGCGATGGCGCGAGTCAAGCAGGGCCAATCAAAAGGCATGACAGCAGTTGGGAGGAGGCTGTTCCAACCCGCCAAGCAGGCTCTTTTCCTGGTAGGGCTGCGGCATGATGGTACCGTGCTGCACCGCATACAAGAACTCAACAGCTGTCTTCCCACCAAAAGAAACGCAAAGCGTCTATATGGCAATCAGTTACACGCAAAACCACTTCAGAAACATAACAAAATCCGTTAAATACGATATCTGGTCCAAAATGTGACTTACAAATGACAGGCTTGCCTCCCTCACGGAAGATACATAAAGGCAAAGTTAGTTTACAGTCTGGTGTGTAGCGATTCAAATTGATGAGCAAAGAGAATCAATCCACAGTGCCCAGCATCATAATCGCTACTACGGAACCCAAGTCCCGACCCGCCCTAACATTGGTACAGCTCTCATCACAGAAGAACATCTTGGAGGAACAAGTATAAATTAAGCACAAATTGACGTCTGTGGCGGTCTTTCCTCCAGCAAACTGCATGCATTCTATGTACACCTTACGGAGCCACATTGTACGGTAAATGCCCAACAGCATTCCGTAATGAAGTCTCGTGTTGATTTCTTCCCCAAAATGCATGATAGTCCAATGTTAATGGCGCTCACAACTAGCGGGTTTGTCTCACTCCTTGAGCACACGTCTGGCAGCACCTCCCGTGCAGTGTGGAGCAGGAGAGAGGAGAGAGGGGGGGGGAGTGCTAGTGCAGTGCAAATGCAATGGCGTTGTTATGCAGGGGGTCGCTGAGGAAGGCGTCCCAGTCATCCAGCACGCCCTGCCCTCTCACCACTGCCTGCGCCGCAAAGCCCACCCACGCCACCATTGCCACCCGCCCGTTCTTGATCTCTCGCACCTGAGGGGGGAGAGACAAGAGCGAGGGGATAAGGAGAGGCAGTGAGAGGCGGGATGCATGTATATGTGTCTTCAGATGACTGCCCTCCATGACTTCACGCCCTGCCAGGCTGCGTCCGTGCCTTGACGTGCACACTCCTGTGCATGACGCACCACCCATACACACACCACCCATACACACACCACCCATACACACACCACCCATACACACACCACCCTTACACACACCAGCCACACACACACCTGCACCCTTAGCCCTTCACTCCAGCCCTTCCCCATCCGTGCGCGCACCTTGAGGTCTTCATACCGCTGTGCTTCGTTGAACAGCCCAAGGGGGTGAAAGAGCCAACCCCCGTGGCTGATGACCCGCGGGCGAAACACGCTCAATCATCTACGGTTGCACGCACCACCCACGCACAGATATTCAAAACCCCTGCACGCACCTTCATGTCTTCGAACCGCTGTGCATGGTTGGCGAGCCCCAGCGGGTCGAAGAGCCAGCCCCCCGGGTGGTTGATGTCCCCCGGCAGGAACACCCCCAGCGGCTCCAACGCTGCTATGCCCGTGTACCGCGCGTACTCTGGCCCCAGCTGGAGAGGGGGGAGGCCCAGGGTGGACGGCGATGACGGCGCAGGTAGACGGGGAGGAATAAGAGCGATGGGTCAAACGACGGGGGAAAGGGAGATGAAGCGGCACCTGCACGTGTATCGCTCGTACTCTGCACCCAGCTGAAGGGGGGGAATGGGAAACGTGAAGCGGGGGGTCTGGGGGGAGGGATTTGAAACACGCCCAGCGGCTGCAGCGCTGCTGCGCTCGTGTAGCGTGCATAGTGTGGGCGTAGGTGAGAGTGAGAGGAACGAGTGAGGGGCGGAGGTACAGGTGGGAAGACGGCCAGTTGACACAAGGCGGGGGGATAGGAAGATTGAGCGGCAGGCAGGCCTCCAACGTTACACACTGTGGGGGGAAAAGGAATACTGACTGTAGGGCACAATGGAAATGGAGGGGAGAGGCGATGGGGACAGAGACAACGGGGTGGAGCGAGGTCGTACAGGTCATCGTGGTGATGACTGTCGAATATGAGGCGGAAAGATAGCTGGGGGTGAGCGAGGGAAGCGAGAGCACTCGAGTGAGTCGTAAGTGGAGTGGGCTCAGGCAGTCTCTAGTCTGCTGTGACAGAACCGTGACTCCGCAGCAGGGCTGTCTTGTGGGAGACTTTACCAGATCTCACTCCACTCCACTCCACTCCACTCCACTCCACTACACTCTGCTCTCAGAGTGTGGCAGTAACTGTAGCGCGGCAAACACACAGTGGAACGTACCCTGAGTAGAAACTGCGCGAGAGCAATGACCACAACCCCCTGCCTGCCCGCCACACACAGCCCCGCCACGCCCAGGTAGGTCAGGTCGTCCGCCGCCAGCTTGGCAGGCCCCCCCAGGCTGTAGCAAGAGCATGTGTTATGCAGGCTCTTACCGTAAGAAAAAACCGTGCAACGCACAGCCCCGACAGTCACGATCGCACCCTGACCCCCCACCACGCACAGCCCCGGCGCGCCCAGGTAGGTGAGGTCGTCACGTGCCAGCTTTCCACGGTAGGTAGCAAGAGCACGTGTTGCACGCGCACTCACCACGAGCAGCACCTGCGCCACAGCCATCACCACCACGCCCTGCCCGCTCGCCATGTGCAGCCCCCCCGGCACACCCAGGTGGTCCAGTTGTCACCCTAGTGCCCCAGGTGGGGCATAACTGTAGCCGGGCACACACTCGCACTCGCACTCACCTTGAGCTGGAACTGTGCGACAGCAATGACAACCACCCCTCTTGACCCCTGCAAGGTGCAGCCCCGGCACGCCCAGGTCGTCGCCCGCCAGCTCCCATAGTGGGACAATAACGAGAGCATGTGCTGTGTGCGCACGCACCATGAGCAGGAATTGTGCGATGGCAATGACGACCACGCCCTGTCCCCCTGCAACGTGCAGCCCCGGCACGCCCAGGTAGTCGAGGTCATCGCCCGCCAGCTTGGCAGCGCCGACGCGCCACCACACGGGCTCTAAGAAGGTGGTGTTGCTGTACCGCTGCAGCACCTCCGGCACCACCGCTCCCAGCGCGCCCAGCATCGCCCACCGCGCGTGCAGGATCTCCAGACTGGGTGGGGGGGAGGCGGTGGACATGGGGAGCGGGCGAGGAGAGGTGACAAGGGGGGGAGGGAGGGGGATGGGGAAGGTGTGGATATGCTTTGGCCACGCGCCACCACACGGCCTCCAGGAACGTGGAGTCTGCCACCCGCTGCACTGCTTCCTGCAGCACCGCGGCCAGCGCTGCAAGCATGGCCCAGCGCGCGTAGGATGTCAAGACTGGAGTGAGCGGGGAGAGGTGGCGGTGGCAGGGGCGTGTGGGAGGACACAGCGTGGAAGAGGGAGGGTTGCAAAATGGAAGAATAGATAACCTTGCTGCAATTCCTTCCTCCACCGCCCAGCCTCCTCGACAAAGGCCACACAAGGAGGATGAGGAGGGAGGAGAAGGGAGGAGAGAGGCAGCAAGCATGGTAAGGGGCAACTAGTGGTGGCGGAGGGGCAAATGGGGTTGGTGGAAAAGGGGAGAAGGAATGGCTTGTGGCAGCAGTGTACCTCGCCAGCACAGCAAGAACAACCACAGCAAGCACCGCAATCCACTCACTCATTCTCTCACTCCTGGCTCACGTGCGCCCCCACCTCCCATCCCATCCCCCCCACCCCCCCAAATCCCTCGCTCCTCTCTCTCCACCCACTTCACTCACTCGTGCCTCATGTGCAGCCCCCATCCCACACATCCCCCCCTCTCCTCCCCCTCCCTCTCCTCCGCACGCACTTGCAGTAGCGCTGGAAGGCAGCGGGGTCACGAGCGAGGCCCGCAGGGTCGAAGGCAAAGTCACCCGCCACGCGGCCGTCCAGGTGGGGCGGGTACGCGCCGGGCACTGCCAGGGGGTCCAGCCAGCGCGGGCGATATGCTCCGTACCACGGGCTGGGGGGGGTGAGGGGGGAAGGGGGAGGGGAAGAGGGCCAGCAGGGTCCAAGGCAAAGTCACCCGCCAGCCGGCCGTGCAGGTAGGACGGGTAGGTGAAGGGCAGGGGGTCCAGCCAGCGCGGGCGTGCAGAGCCGTACCATGGGCTGGGGGATGAGGGGAGGGGGAGGAAGAAGTGGAGGTGCGGAAGAGAGGTGGAGGGGTATGGGAGGGACGAGGTGTGTGGCCACGTGTGCAGGGCGGGCGTGGTGTGAGCAAGCAAAGCAGTGATGGGAAGAATGGGTTGAAACAAGAATGGTATACTGCCCCCCACTACCCCCCACTGCGCCCCACTGCTGCCCTCTGCCTGCTGCTGCTGCTGCTGCTGCTTCTCACGCACCTCTGTTCCCGCGCCTCCTCCCGCTGCGCCTCCACCTTCTCAGCGGCCTGTCGGAGGTCGGGCAGGCGGTGCTGCAGGCGTTGACTGAGCTGCCCGCCCACCCCGCTGTTGGCCAGTGCCTTCACTGCCACGAAGGGCACCGCGGACAACACCAGCACGCCCGCTAGCTGCCCGCATGGGGGTGAAGAGCAGTGAGGGGCGGTGAGGTGGGGGAATGGGAGGTGAGGGAAGGAAGGGGAGGGGCGGGGAGAGGAGGGGCGGAGCAGTCAAGGGGACGAGAGGGGATGACGGAGGACAATGGATTGCAGCAGGGCAACGAATGGGAGGGGGGAGGGGGTGTGGGCAGTTGGGCGTCGTTGGGTTTCAATACGAGCAACGATTTGACAAAAGTAGAAGGGACACAGCAGCCATCGCAGCATAGCAGCGTTCAAGCTACCCACAATCCCACAGAACCCCCCACCCTCTCGCCCTCCTCACTCCCCCTAATCCCCTCACTCACACCCCTCACCTCATCCACGCTTGCTCGCGCCTGCCCCACGCCACCCATTCTCCCGCGCCCATCCCCCCCGCCCGCTGCTGCTCGCCCACTCCTCAGCTGCCACGTGGACCCTCGCCAGCTGCTCCCGAGCCGTGCTTCGCGGTATCTTCCAGCTGGGCCCTGGGCGCACGGGGACGGCGGAGAGGGGCGGTCACGGCGGGAGTGGGAAGGAGCGCACAGGCGAGCAAGTGCAAGCACTCCAGTCTGCACAGCTTCCATGCCTTGACTTTTCCGGAGCACCACCAAGACATGCCTTCCCACGCACACTCGTGACGCCTGCTGGTGCTCACACCGGGTAAGCGAGGGGCGGCGAGGGGCGGGGCGGAAAGCAGAGCACAGGGGGCACGGGGGAAGCGGGGGCGGAACTGGAAGGCGCGTGGAAGCGCAATGCGCGCGTCGCCATTCAGCGACGCGCAGCGTGCAGCGCTCGCAGGTGCGGTCCTGATTGGCCCGTGGCGGAGCGCATCTGCCCGGCGCGCGCGGCCCTGGTTCCGCCAGCTCCGAGGCCAGCGGCGCGTTGCGCGACGCTGCTCGGGGCGCTCAAGAGTCACCCACTGCAGCGCTGCGATGGGGGGGAGACGAACATTGCGACAATGCGCCGCTTGCCATGCCCGGCGCCTGGTTGCGGTCCGAGCAGTCAGTAACCAAATCTGCAGTCGCCTGGCGGCATTGCCGCTGCAAGCACGCACCTCGCTCGTCTCGCCGCGCTGCGCCGCTTTTCTCCGCCGAGCGCAGTGCGCGGAACACGCGGACCCGAGCCCCGCGAGCTGCGACGCGCCAGCGGAGCGGAGAGTCGCCGCGGGCGACATGCTGGTGCGGTCGATGCGGCAGGACGCGCCGTGAGCGCGCTGGGATGCTGCGCAGGTGGCGCTGGTGGGTTCTGGCGGCGGTGCTGCTTGTCGCGTGTGTGGTCAATTTGGGCTAGGAGCAGAGTTCCGTCCTTAGGTATACGGGCCCGAGTCGCACACAAAAGTCGTAGGTTACCCGGTTCGGGTTACCCTAGGTTATCCTAAATTGACTTTAACGTGGCGGTTTGCGACGACGGAAAACTGACAACTCTGAGCTTCGTCACCTTCGCAGCTTTCGCAGGGGAAAACTGGATGTGCAACTTTATTTGTCAACGCCGAAATTGATCGATCCAGACGTGGCAGATTGCTTGCCTTGCACCTCAGGGCGCATCACAGCAACTCACGTTGATTTGGTGTCGTTCGCATTTTCCGGCCCCACTGTTCTTGTCACAGAAAATGCACACGACACTAAGTCAACTTGCGTCCTTGACACATTGCTGAGTTACACCCTCAGGCGAACAGCATGCTCCTCTCCCCCTCCCTCTCTTGCTCTTTCTGGCGTTAGCTTGAAGCCATATCACGTCACGGGCAGACAACTAGAGCATGGTGGTAATTACGTTGGCATTACGCAGTGCTGATAAGCCAAGTAGGTCGCGCAGGGTGTTCCTCCTATCTCGTCATGTAAATGACTCACTGTTTTATTCATGTCTAATTATCCGATGCCACGGCCAATGGCATTCGCAGCGTACGCGTCTACTACTTCATGTGCTGCCGCCGATGGGGCGGCGGGTGGGACAATCTTGGGTTGTTGCGGGTGGGTGTTTCGGTGCGCACGGAACACGCGGGGAAGGAACGATGCCAAGTTGTCATCTGTCAACGGTCACCTCCTTCCCTCACCTCACGTCGCCCTCACTCACGCAACTCGTTTGTCAACGCCCACATTTATCCGTCCCCACGTTGACAATTTGCTCGCCTATGCTTGTTTGCATCTCAGCCGTGCAGCGTCCTCTCCCTCGTTCCTCCTGGAGTTAGCTTGAAGCGATATCACGCACGTCACGACACGAGCATGACAGCACGACGTGGGAATGGCGCAGTGCTCATAAGCCAATTAGGTCGCACAGGGTGTTCCTATCTTCTCCTATACATGACTGATAGTCGCACAGACAATACTAACAGTCGCAGCGTATGCGACTGCGGTAGCATGCGATGGCGTGCAACAGAGATAGCGTGCGATGCGGGTCGCATTGTCCAATGCACATCGAGATCGCGTCGAGATTAGGGTTAAAACTGCATACCCACGAGAATCATAACTCCGCGGCACCACCTGATGGCATGCGTCGTTCGTCTCGTCGACACCGCGAAGCTTCCTCTCGGGTTCTTATTCTCGCGCTACTAGTAGCGTTTGTGGTAGTGTCAGCGGAGCTTCTTACGGGGAGTGCGGGAAGCGCCGTCGCGACAGGCGTAGGGGCGAGAGCTGGAGAATGCAGCAAGTATGCCGACATTGCTAACGATGGAGGAACGAATTCTAATTTGGTCAGTAACGCGAACAGCAGCTCTAGCGTCGACGGTCACGATTCGAGCGGCCACAATGCGAACACGAACGCGAGACTGGCGCTGAGAAGTCTGGTGAGCGACGGCGGGCGCAAGAGGGGGGCGGTGGTGACGGTGGGATGCTTGTTCGCCCATGACATGCCGGGGGGAGTCGACATGCTCGCCGGTACGCTGCTGCTCTCACTCATGACGCGCCTCAATACTGCGTGCTGTCATGTGGTTGCCGGGCCGCTGCCCCCCCCTTGCCTCTTGTGCTGCGCAATGCAATTCCTCCCTCCTCCCTCTTCCTCCCTCCTCCCGCTTCCCGCCGTCTGTCCACCAAGCGCTCGTGCCCTGTGTGGCGCCAACACTCTTGCTGCCTTCTCCTCCTCTCGCTCCTTCTCTTCTCTTCGTCTTTCCCTCTCCTTTCACCTCCTCCTCTCCCCGCCTTTCCCTCTTCGTCTCCCGCCCGTTCCTGTCTCTTCTCCCATTCTCCCCTTCCTCTTCTTGTCCCGTTTCGTCCCCTCTCCTTGTTGTCTCCTCTCCCCTTCCCCCTTCCTCTCCTCCTTCTATCCCATCCTCCCCGTCCCGTTCTTCCCCGCCCAGCCTCCCTCATGGCAGTGGAGGAAATCAACGGCGATCCCAGCATCCTGCCAAACCACGTGCTGCATCTGACGGTGCAAAACTACTCCATAGCCTCTCTCGCGAGCCAGCTCGCAGGTATTCCCCTTTCCCTCCCGCCCTCTGTCCCTTTCTCTCGTCCCCTCCTCCTCCATTCTTCCCCCTCCCACTTTTTCTCCTTCTCCATCCACCCCTCCCCTCCTCCCCCTCTTCCCCCCCCCCTCGCTTTTCCCCCCCTGCCTCTGCTCGCTTCTTCACCGTTTCTCTCTTCTGTGCGCCTCCCATCCTCTCCCCCTCCTGGTTGTCTTTCGCCTATTCCCTCTCCCCTCATTCCTGCCCCCCCCTCATCTCCACTTGACTGCATCTCCTCCTGCCTCCACGTGGCAGCATTCCAGCTGCTCCAGAACCATCCGGTGGCTGTGATTGGCCCGCACACATCTGACCAGGCCGCCCGATTCAGCCCACTTGCAGCTGCAACCCAGGTGAGCTGACAGATCAGATCAGAAACAGAGGCACTCGCGATTGAGTGAAACGATTGTTGTGCCGACAATGTTTGTCCTTGCGTATTCAATGTGTATTCCTGTGTCCACCATCCTGTCTCCGCTTCCTGTCCCACCGCCAGGTGCCGTTCATATCAGCATCAGCCACGGACGTGCACTTCACCCGCCCCTACTTCATGCGCTCTTCCCCCGTCCTTCCCGCCCTCCGCAACCCCTCCTGTGCCCCTCTCGTGCCCCCGCCACCAGGTGCCATTCATATCGCCATCAGCAACGGACGTGCAGCTGACGCAGGGCATGAGCCGGCCCTACTTCATGCGCGCCGTGCCCAGCGACGCCGTGCAGATGGCCGCCATGGCAGGTGGGAGCTAGGCCGTGCTGTCTGCTATGCGTGGTTGGAGCGGAGCAGCACGGGTGCAGTGCAGGTACAGGTAGCAGTAACACCTGTGCTCCTCATGTGCACGCTGCCCAGCCACACCGTGCAGGTGGCCGCCATGGCACGTGGATGGAATGCGATTCCGTGGCATGGGATGGGTAACAGACAGGTGCATGCACCGTACGTACATCATAAACCGTGTCAGGCTTTAGGGTTTAAGGTTTAGGGTGACCGCAACCGCGTGCATGAGCGCTCCCCCCTAACCTTCCTCACCTTCTCCCCCTTTTTCATTCTCATTCTCGCCTGGTGCATAATCCTGGCCACACCCTTGCCTCCCTCTAATTTGCGCTGCATCATGCAAAGCTGATCAAGCACTACACGTGGCATGGCATCACTGCCACCTGCCGCCACTTGTGCGGCACGTGGCTGTTGAGTCGAGTATTGAGTCAAGTCCCCCTTTCTCTCCTCTCCTCACCTCTCGTTCCGCCCGTCTCAACCAATCAGAGCTAATCAAGCACTACAGGTGGCAGCAGGTGGCGCTCATCTACAGCAGCGACGATCGGTTCGGCCGCAACGGCATCACTGCACTCGCCGCACAGCTGCTCTCCATCCATGTCAGTCACACCACACCACATCACACCATACATCGTTGACTCGACGATTGTGTTTGAGAATTCTCAGAAGTGAGTCACACCACACAGGCTGGCAGCTGTTAGAGAAAAAAGAGACATATGAGTTGACTCAGAAGACACCTCGATAGGTTGGGCCGCAATGGGGTGACTGCGACGGTGCGGTTGTGCTCTCTCACCTCACAGCTTCTGCCCTGGTTTCACAGTTTGCAGGCACTACCCCCCTCTCCCCTATCCCCCCTCTTTATCCTCTTTGCCCTCTTGCCCAACGGCGGGGAAGGCCAGACGAGAGCGCTGATGCTCACTGTGCTTTGAGACGTGTCTCGATGGCTCGCGTGCTCGTCTTGTCCCCGCCACGCCACAACAGGCGGATGCAGAGGTGGCGGTGCTGGTGGCCATCCCGCTGTCGGCCACAGGCGAGGCCATTCACGACCGCTTGTCGGCGCTGCTGCTGCTGGACGTGGCGGTCTATGTGCTGCACGCCTCCCCGTCCATGTTCTCTGCCATCATTCAAGCAGGTGCCTGCGCCTCACCCGCCGTATTCTCCGCCTTTGTCGCAGCAGGTGGCTTCTGTCGATTGTAGGTGGGCACAGGTAATGAAAAACCCAATAGAGAGTGGGCCATCGAGACACGTCTTAAAGAGGTTGATGTTCACTGTGCTAGAGTGGGTGCCGCTAGGCACGCGTCGGCCCTCGCCCATATTTGGTACTGTGCTGTCGTTGCAGCAGGTGGGTGTCGCATTGTTGGCAGAAAGGAAGGAGAAGAACGGGTGCTGCTCTAGATGTGGAGAGTGGGGAGGCGGATCTAGAAGAACGGTTTGCGTCAAAAAGAGCCTCCTCCCGTCCACCCACCCGCCCCCGACAGAGTGCAAGACTGCGGCGATGGTCAGCCTGCACTGACTTTTGAGTCAACTCGAAAGGAGTCTGCAAGTGATCGCATACTTCCCTCGTTGCTCCGTTGCTCTGTTGCTGCCGTGCTGCCATGCTGCTGTGCTGTCATGCCCTCCCGTTTTGAATCCCTGTTGTCGCCATGCAATGCAATCGAATCAAGCTCCTCCAATCATTACTTGCCCCGCACCGCACTGTTCCAACCCAATCCAACCCAACCCAACCCCTGCGGAAGGCGCTTCTCAAGACCAGCTTTGATGGCCTGCAGGGCAGGTCAGTACTCCCTCACCCTGTTCCAATGCTTGCCTGCCCCGCTCCATCCCATCCCAACCCAACCCCAGTGGGGCCGGCACTGCGCAAGGCGCTTCTCACGACCAGCTTTGATGGCCTGCAGGGCAGGTCAGGTCTGTTGAGGGGAAAGGGGGTGTCGGTGAAGGGATGGGAATGGGGGTGTACGGAGTGGGGTGGGGGAAAAAGGGGGGGATGAGAGGAGAGAAGTGTGGGAGAGGAAGTGTGGGAGAGGAAGTGTGGGCGAGCATACACCCGCATGTGCTGCAATGGGCTTGCCTGACTCCTCCTCCTTGCCCATCTCCCTTCTTTCACCCACCCTCGAATGCACTAGAGGCATCCGCATTCACCGACTTTCCTCTGACCCACCAACCCGCACCTTTTCTCCTCCGCAGTTTCTCCAATCCCTTTTCAGTTGTCCCCTTCGGAACCCTTCACTTCCTCTTCCCTCACCTGCTCCTGTCCTCCTCACCCTCCCACGCTCGCGCAAAACACAAACTCTCTCAACCGGTTTTGCCCCCTCTCAGGATCGCGCTAACCTCACAAGGAGACCTGGCAGCAAACGAGATCCGCATTGTCAACATCCAGGGAGGGGCGCCCGTGAAAGTGGGGCGCTGGTCCTCCTCCCGCCTGTTAAAGGGGCTACCACCACCTTGTACCTCCCACCTTTCTTTCCTTCCCCCCTCACTTCCCCCTCCCCTTTCAGAGTCGCTAACCCCACAGGGCGACCTGGCAGTGAACGAGGTGCTCATCTTCAACATCCAGAAAGGGGTGCCGGTGGAAGTGGGCCGCTGGTCCTCCTCCCTCGGCCTCGTCCCCCCCTCCTCCCGCCCACCCTCGCAATCCTCCCCACCTTCCACCACTGCCCCTGCTCCGCTCCCATGGGTTGTCGCAAGCCCCAGCACACAGGTTAGACGGCCTCTTCCCCTCCTCCCACCCACCCGCCCGCTCAAACCGCCCTCCCCACCTTCCACCACTTCTCCTGATCTGCTTCCAGAGCCTGTCGCAAGCCCCAGCACACAGGTTTGTCGGTCTCCTCCCTTCCTCCCACCCAGCACCCCCGACCCTTCCCGCCTCCCCTCCCTCCCCACCCCCCCCCTTCCGCATCTTCCGCACCCAGCCACGGCTCACAGGTAAGTCACCCTTTTTTCACTCCTCCCGCCCACCCCCTGATCTGATCCCTCCCCACCCTCCCAGCCTTCTCCACCCTCTTGCCCTTCTCCTTCAGCCTCCTGCCCTCCTGCCCACCCCCCGACCCTACCCAGCCTCCCCACCTTTCTCTGCTTCCCCTGTGTAGACCCCAGGCTCACATTAGGCCCCAACTCATAGTTTAGGTTAGGACAGATCTGTAAAATCTGGGCTCGGTTTGTCCCACCCAACTTAGGCATGAGCAAGCAAGTAGCAGTGCTTCTCACACCAACATGAGGGCTCCCTTGAACAAATCAGTACAAGGAGGGCACACCAGGATAGGGAGGAGCAAGGGGCGAACATGAACGTGTTCGTGTTCGCCCCTACACGAACACAGCCGTTTGTCGAACCGAACACTGTTCGCCATTCGCCTGTGAAGGCGTGTTCGGGCGAACCTCGAACAAGTTCGTGTTCGTCGCGGGGCAAATTGCAGCAGCTTCGTGTTCGGGCGAACATCGAACACTGTTCGGCGAACGATTTAAGCCAAAAAAAAATACCTGTTCGGTTCGCCTCGAACGTGTTCGAGGCGAACCGAACAGGTGTTCGTTTTTTTGCTCAACCCTACACCAGGATGCTTGCCCATCTCCAGAACCCTTTTAACTTGTAGTTTTTCAAGTGTCATTGCCTCCCTATTCAATTTGTAGCTGTAACTTTTTAATCAATGCCTTCTAACTTGTGAATCAATGCCTTTGCCCCCCTCCTCCGCTCTGCTGTATGCAGGCTCCCAATGCTCTTCCAATCGTCTTCCCGGGAGAACTTACCCAGGTAGGTGTAGAGTTGAGCATAAGGCCCGACCCGACCCGACCCGACCCGATTTGGCCGGGCCTTACGGGCCCTCGGGTCGGGTCGGGTCGGGCCGACCCCGGGCCAGAGTCCTGAAACTGGTGGCCCGACCCGGGCTTACAGACTCGGGCCACGGGGGACCCGAGTTCGGGTCGGGCCGGGTCGGGCCAGGAAGGCCCGCCCCTTTAGTGGCAGGGTGGGGGGGTTCCCCATGACTCGTACATTTATTCTGATTTCCAGGTTGTTACTCTATTTTAAAAAAAGCATGTTTCCCTACCACTTAAAGTTGTGTGGGTTTCGTAAGCGGTGCAACAGTTGTAATGACATGTACAATACCGTAGTCTTGGGCTAACGAAATTGTAGGGACAAACACAAAACAACAACAGTGCGATTGGGTTTCCCTTAGGGTCAGCCCCATCAAGTGTAAAAAGCACATGCAAACTATAAATATGTCTGTTAAATAACAACCCCAGAGCAGCAAATGTCTAAGCAAGCTACCACAGGTACCACAAGGAGGCCGTTAATAAATAGGGAGATGCAACACCACCACAGTCACAACGACAAATGTCCCAGCAGCGCCTCACCCCTAGCAACTGGCTCTCACAACCCCAGCTGCTCTGCCTCAATGCACAGCTGCGCAATCGCTGTCCTGCCACCCCGAACCTCAAGCCTCTGATGAGGGTGGTGATCCTGCCAAGTCTTGATCATCATGGCCGCACGCATCTGCTGTGGGCTCAGACGGTGCCGCTGCCACCAGATGATGTTTCTGCTCTGACTGAAGGCTCTCTCACTCGCAGCAGACGTGGCTGGGATACCCAAATAGTCGCGAGCCATGGCCCTAAGCCCGGGCAGCTGCATCTCCCTCCCGCGCCAGTACGCTAAGGCGCACCCACCCTCCTGCCTCGCCTCCGCTAAATACCGGTCCACCTCGTCCTGTGCCCGCACCCCCTCCTCTGCCTCCATCTCGGCCAACTCAGCGAACAGCCAAGCCTGAAAGTCCAGCACACCACGCGACCTGGCCCCCCTGCGCCCTGCAGCCCCGCTCCTCGCCTCACCCTCCCCCGTCACTCTCCTAGTGCTCGTAACGTCACCCCCAAGGTGCGCCTCTGCCACTGCACGGGCTGCTGTCTGGTAGGGTGGAAGGCGCTCGCGTACGAGAGCCTTCACCCTCTCCTCGGTCAGGTCGAGTGTCCTGGCACCCCTGGCATGCCCCCCCGCCGCCACCACAATGGGCGCAGTAGGTCTCGCCCCCCGGGCCCTGAGTCTGAAGGTTGCCGTCTTGAGCCGAGGATCGAGGAAGGTGGCAATCGCACACTCCTCGCTCACCCTCCCCATGTGACGTTCCAGCTTGCTCAAGGCCCGGGTCGAGAGGTCCTTCCACAGCTGCGACACATCTGGCGAATCTTTGTTCGCCTCGAGGATGTCCAGGAGCATGTTGTACTGCGGCACCACCGCTCCGATGGTGGGGTACAAAGACCCCTCCACGAACAGGGTGATGCTGTCAAACGGCTCCAGGAAAGCCCGCAGCTCGTTGAGAGCAGACCAATGGGCGTCGGACAGCCTGATCTCAGCCCAGGCTTCTTTTGTGGTCTTCGAGATGTTTGGCTGAGCGGGGGTGCGAGGGAAGGGAAGGACAGTGATATGGGAAGATTGGAGGCCACATTGAGGTATTATATGGTGATGCGTGGCGTTTGGGCAGGGTTGAGAGCCAACATGGCATGGATGGCATAACCCTTCGATATAAGAACATTCAATCCAAAGAGGGTGTGGAGATGATCTGGAGGTGTCATTGATGCAGTACATGGTTTAGGGTATGGTTGTGGGACAGGTTGAGAGGCCACATGGCATGTATGGCATGATCCTTCAATATAAGCACATGCCATGCAAGGGGGTGTGGAGTTGATTAGGAGGTGAGATTGAGGAGCTACATTGAAGGGTGGACCATGCCATACTTACGATAGAGGTCTCATCGAAGTACATTGTCAGAGGAATGGAGAGCTCACACCCCCGCACAACCATCTCCAGCGTGGAACCCCAGCGCGTGTCCGAGTCAACGATCAGGCGCAAGTCAGTAGGCCTCTTGCGCGCACTGCCACCCCCCTCCGCCTGCGTCGCCCCTCCCTCCGCAGCGCCTCCCTCTGCCTCCCTCTCCCCCCCATCTTCCGCCCCCTCCCCTGCCTGCGTCTCAGCATGGGACGCGGCATACCGCTTCTGGATGTCGAAAAAACGCTCCGACCGCTGCACCGACCACCCGATGTAGCTAGCCACCGCACGCAGCCTCCGGAGCGCCTCGGCCACCGGCTCAACCTTGATTGCGTACCGCACTGCAAGGTTCAGGACGTGGGCCACGCACCTGGTGGGCAAATATTGACATTAGGGAAGGATCGGGTATGATGATCCACGGAACGGGGTCAGGTAAGGTCCGTTGGAAACTTGATAGCGCCCGATATGCACATGGACATTTGTAGTTGGAGTGGATGGCACTCACTTGAAGTGTCGAGCCAGGGACAAGACGGGGGGGTCACGCGGACGTGACCCCGGTGTGTCGTCCGCGACGCCGGCCAGCAGACGAACCGCCCGGTTGTTGTTCTCGGCGTTGTCCGTCGTCACGCCGAAGAACTCACCACCACCCAGCGCCCACTCCCCTATGACCACCTCCAACTCGGACGCAATCTTCTCCCCCGTATGACGGCCCTCAAGCGGCCGGAAGTCGATAACCATCTGCTGTAGCTGGAAGTCCGAGGTGACTCGGTGTGCAGTGACGACCATGAAGGCGACGTTGTTCTCACTGGTCCATATGTCCGTTGTGAGCGTCACCCGCCCCGCCAGACCATCGTCTGTCAGTAGCTGTCGCAGCTGAGCCCTAGCCGTCTCGGCCGCAGACAGCAGGTCCCGCGCAAGGCGGAAACGGCTACCGAGATGCTCTGCCGCGTCGGGGTTGAGCAGGGCCACGAAGTCACGAAACTGCCACGAGGAAGGACACGGCCATGGTTGGGAGTGGGAATAGTGAGTGGTTGGTTGATGTTTAGCACAGCATGTGAACATGTACTCGATCATACCCAAACCCAGAATAGAACGCGATGGGTGTGCTTACCACTGGCCTGTCGACCGAACGGAACGACATGTCAAGTCCGGCGAACAGCATGACCAGGGCCTCGCGCAGCTGCCGCTCTCCAACCCGAGTCGTGACATACTGATCGATGGTACCCTGTCTCCCCCCCCCCACGGCGGCTCCTCCGGTCAACCCACTCGGACCTGCCCCCGCCTCTGATGCCGGAACGTCAGGCCATGTAGCAGCGTGCTCCCACGGCCACTTCGTCTTATCAGGAACTGTTGCTCCCCAAACCCCCTCCGGGAAAACTAGCGATTCAGACTTGTTTGGGTCCAGAAAGCGACGGACCCAAATCTGAAGGCTTGGATAGTGCAACCGCTTCATGTGCTTGCCCCCCGAGCTGGTGTTGCCGTCACGCCAACTAATCACCGTGTTGCACGTAAGGCATCGCCGGGCAACGTCGCTCAACGCCCCGAACATGCCTTTCACCAAGCCCGGCTCCCCCCTCTTCAGAGCGCTCTCCACGATAGGGTCCAGTTCAGCCTCCGTCGGGCACCGTTTGGCCTCCCGCATTGCATTGATGGTAGCCCAGGAAACACCAATGCGGCGCGATCCATCAGTGGCCACGGCAGCACCAGCAGCAGCAGCAGTAGCGCGAGGGCGTCTGGCAGCGCGAGAAGTAGCTGCAGCAGGAGTAGTAGAGGGCGGACGCCCAGCAGCACCAGGTGCCGCAGCAGTAGTGGCAGCAGCAGTTGCGGGAGCAGTAGTAGCGGCAGCAGCAGGCGCACCAGCAGCTGGAGCGGACACGGCAGTAGGGGCTGCAACTCCACCAACACGTGCTCTCTTCTGTCCCACACGGTCCCCCCCCCATCCTCGCCACCACTTTCGCCGTCACTCGCAGCGCCAGCATTCGCATTACCCGGCACCCATGTCGGGTCACTACGTTCTCCGGGCGACTGCTGCTCAGCTGCACGAAGATCTTCCATTGTGTTCTGCCATCGCTCCTCCTGTGAAGCCCGACGCGCCGCAATGGCCTCCTCATGGGCCACAGGGTCAACACTTGGGGAAAGCTCACCCAACTGGAAACCCTCCCCACCGAAGGATGTGACCCCGACGGCCGCAAGCGAAAAGCCCTGAATCCGCGTGGAGCTCGATGGGTCATTGTCAGCGCCTGTCATGTTTCGCGCCCGTAACCGCGCGCCCCCCCACGATTGAGCCTAGAAGTGTGCACCTCGGACTTTCCGTTACTCTGCAAGCGACCCTCGCGAACTAACCAGGAATGTTGCTGCGTTATCCGCTAGAAACTACTAGTACAGCGCGTGTGTCACGGAGCGCAGGCGGGGAGGAATAAACGTAGAGGTGGCGGATGTATTATGGTGGTCCCAAAACTACTCTAGTGAAGAGCGCGAAATGGCCTATTTCTAGCCAGAAACGTTCGTCGAGAGGATAACTTAAAATAGTAGGACGCGCGTGGGAATACCTAAGTTGCGTGGTAGGTTAAGGACTGGTAAGTACTACTCTAAGTCTGCTTGCTGCTGGCTTGGCGGAAAGTAAATCGACGGGGATAAAATCCCCGCGATTTACATTGTGTTAGGGTTTCGACCCCACACATTGTCGAAATCGGGTCGCGCATCTGGCCCGACCCGATTTCGACAATGGCCCGAAATCGGGTCGGGCCACACCCGACCCGAGGCCCGGCTCGGCCCGGCCCGAATTGCGCTGTCGGGTCGGGCCTCACGCCTAGTCGGGTCGGGTCGGCCCGACCGGGGCAGGGTTTTGGAAACCCTGGCCCGACCCGTGAAAAACCACGGGTCGGGGCGGGTCGGCCCGACCCGTCCGGGCCACATGCTCAACTCTAGGTAGGTGGAATAAAAGCGGGGGTAGTCACAGTGTCTGTCTGCAATACTCGCTGACTCGCTTCTCGAGTGTTGTTGTTGCTTCCTTTTTCGGCACCAAAATCACTCGTTTCTCCTCCTCGTTCTTGCACTCCTTGGGGTTTGGAAATGCAGTGCCACAAACACCCTTTATTGCAAACCTTATCCCACCCCTGCCCCTGCCCCTGCCCTTGCCCGTACCCCTGCCCTGCCCTGCTTCTGCCCCTGCACTGCCCCTGCCGTTGCCCCTGTACCTGGCCCCCGCTCCCCGCCCTGCTCCTGTCCCTGCCCCGCTCCCGCCCTGGCTCCCTGTCTCCTCGTGTGTTTCTGTCTCCTGCAGGTGCCAACAGGCTCATTTCCCAAAACCCGACTTCGGATCGCAGTGCCTAACAAACCGGTGCTCGTGCTTGCACAATGGTGAACGCTAGCGAACCACGACAGGTTTCCTTATCAACAGGTGCACATTCACTTATCACAGGTGCCCTCATTACCAGGTGTACCCTTATCAACGTCGATAGGTGATCCACCTTCTGTCCAGTAAATACCTGACTACGCCGGTGATCTGATCTGCTCTGGTCTGGTACTCTGGCGGCCACTGGCCCTGGACAGATGTCTCTTCAAGCCATCTCTTTAGAGAAAATGTCTTGATGCCAGAAGTCATCTTCCCCTCCTCCCTTTTCCCCTCCCTTCCTCTCGCTCCCCCCCCGTGCCAGCAATACAAGGAGTATGTGAACGTGTCGGATGCGCTGGGGCAGGGCAACAACCGCTTCTCAGGCTACTGCGTGGAGGTGTTCCGCCTGGCTGTTACGCGGTTACCCTACAAGCTGGACTATGAGTTTGTGCTGTACGGTGCTAGAGAGGTATAGGTAGCAGGAATAGATTGTTAAGAGCTCTTGTGGGAGGTGTTCTTGCACTCGCGCTACACACAGGTGATGCTGGCCTCGCCAACAAGGTGCGTCGTGCAGAGGGGATCACTTCTGTTCAAGATGGCAACAGGTAAGAGACACACAATAAGAAACTCTCTCCTTACATGCCATGCCGTGCCGTGCCGTACCATGCCATGCCATGTCGTGCCGTGCTGTGCCATGCCATGCCGTGCCGTGCCATGCCATGCCATGCCATGCCATCCCATGCCATGCCTCAAGCTGGTCGCACCTCACCACTGTTGAAGACAACTTGAGGCGCTTCAGAAGAAGAATACCTCCCACTCCATAAAGCCAGCTGCCCTCTGCTGCCCTCTGCTGCCCTCTGCTGCCCTCTGCTGCCCTCTGCTGCCCTCTGCTGCCCTCTGCTGCCCTCTGCTGCCCTCTGCTGCCCTGTGCTGCCCTGTGCTGCCCTCTGCTGCCCTCTGCTGCTCTCTGCTCCTCTTTGCTGCTCTCTGCTGCTGTCTGCTGCCCTCTGCTGACCTGTGTTGCCGTGCTCTCTGCACCCCTGGCTTGCTAGCAGACGTACGATGCAGCAGTGGGCGACATCACAGTGCTGGACTCGCACAGCAAAGCCGTCTTCTTCACCCACCCCATCCAGGTACCAACCACCACTGCACGTGCTAGCCCTTCTCGAGTGGGGGCATGTGAGGTGGGGGCATGTGATGTGAGGTAGGGGCATGTGAGGTAGGGGCATGTGAGGTAGGGGTATGTGAGGTGGGTGGGGGCATGTGAGGTGGGGGTATGTGAGGTGGGGGCATGTGTTTGAATTGGCACATTGGGAAATATGCTATTTGTAACCATGGTTCTGATACACCAGTTCTGCTGCTGTTCTCCCCTTCCCATGGTCTCCCAGCAATCTGGGCTGGTCATGACCTGGCACCGAACCTTGCATACATTGCATGCCTCACTTTTGACGCCCACTCAAACACACACTCTCTCTCACCCATAGACACAGACATGCGTGCGCGCGCGCGCGCGCACGCACACACACACACACACACACACACACACACACACACACACACACACACACACACACACACACACACACACACACACACACACACGCACGCACGCACGCACGCACGCACGCACGCACGCACGCACGCATGCACGCACGCACGCGCGCACGCGCGCACGCGCGCACGCGCGCACGCGCACGCGCACGCGCAGACGCAGACGCAGACACACGCACACGCACACGCACACGCACACGCACACACACACGCACACACACGCACGCACGCACGCACGCACGCACGCGCGAACACACACACACACACACATCGCACACACGCACATACACCACCCCCGCTGCTGCTGCCCTCTCCTCCCTCCTCTCCCTTCCCCTCCCTTTTCCATGCCTCCCCTCCCAGCAATCGGGGTTGAGTGTGATGGGCTATTCGCGGCCGTACAGCAACCCCTAGCTGGTCTTCTCCCCGTTCACGGCCTCCATGTGGGCCGCCACTGCCGCCATCTGCATCGCCACAGGGCTGCTCGCCATGCTGCTGGACGGGCAAAGGACGACTGACTTCCAGGGCACGCTGCAGAGGCGGATTGTGACGGCCGTGTGGTGAGTGGATGGGCTGGAATGTGGTGGCATTGCAGGTAGTTGTTGTGGTAGCAGCTTGATTGCCATAGCCCCCAATGCTGCCGTCTGCACCGCCACAAGCCTGCTCGCTCGACTGCTGGACCTGGAAGTTAGTCAGTCAGTCAGTCAGTCAGTCAGTCAGTCAGTCAGTCAGTCAGTCAGTCAGTCAGTCAGTCAGTCAGTCAGTCAGTCAGTCAGTCAGTCAGTCAGTCAGTCAGTCAGTCAGTCAGTCAGTCAGTCAGTCAGTCAGTCAGTCAGTCAGTCTGTCAGTCTGTCAGTCAGTCGGTCGGTCGGTCGGTCGGTCGGGCAGGCAGGCAGTGCACGCCAGACTGACTCTCAGGGCACGCTGCAGAAGCGCAGCACCTCGTAACGGCCGTGTTGTGAGTGGGTGGGTGGGTGGGTGGGTGGGTGGGTGGGCTGGGAGTTGGTGGCGGTTCATCTCAGGTAGTGTGTTTCTAGCAAGTTGATTCACGCACCGCCATTTAAAAGTGTGACAGATACACACACACACACACACACACACGCACACACACACACACGCACATGCACACACACATACATACGCACACACGCACGCACGCATGCACGCACGCACGCACGTACACACACGCACA